AACTTAAACTACAACCATAAAACTTATTATCAAAGGGATAGGTCACCCAAAATTGTATTGCCAAGTGTGCAATACACAAGGAATTTGTTTTGGCTACGGAAGCTTCCAGTGTACATTAATGAAGTGACAACATGAAAATAAATATAAAAAAACACGACAAACATTAAATGGAGATGCAGTTAGTCAAACAGCTCTGGATGTTGAATTGTATGTACAGATTTGTCATAAATATACAAGTTATGAGTTGCTGTGTACAAATGGGTAGAGAAGGTATTGCATTACGCATGGTTAAAAGGTGCTGTATGAGAAAGTATTGCACATGTTTATTGCACGTTAGGGGAAGGTTTAACTGTTCATGAGGTAGATGGACCGAGGAAAGAAACTATTTCTGTGTCTGACTATTTTTGAGCTCGGTGCTCTGTAGTGCCAACCAGACGGGTTGGCACTACAGTTCAAACATGAAGTGTGCTGGGTGTGAAGGGTCCAAAGTGATTTTGTTTTATTCACTCTGGAAGAGTACAGTTCTTGAAGAGTAGGACGGGTAGTGCCAGTGATTCGTTGAGCGGTCCGGACTATTCACTGTAGTTTGTAGAATAATATCCATTGACATCCATAGTGGAGAACAAATATTATGTGAGTTAGTGGCTACCAGTTTCCCACATTTCTGCAATAATATTCTGCAAATAATGGTTTATATTGTTAAAAAGGTCAGACATCAAAACTTAAAACTTAAAAGATTTGTAACAGTTGTTCAGTGATGGCAGAATTTTGTGTTAAAGAGGAAAAAGAATATTGCTTATTTTAGCCCTTTTTCAAGATTTAAGATAATACATTTGTGTCTCTAGTATGTGTCTCTAAAGTTTCAGCTACAAACACCCATCAGATTATTTATTTTGCCTTTCAGAATATTGGAAATTTCAGAGCACATTGTAGCTGTTTTTGCGGCCTGTGCTTTTAATGCTAGTTCTCCCCACGCCTGTCAGAGTGTGCCTTAATCTCTGGCTGTGTTAGATAAACAGCACAGTTACAGACATGAAGGAAGCAGATCTCACGTAATGTTTGTGAGAAATACTACAGTAAGAACTTTGCCAATTATTATTTAATGTATGTGTTGTGGAGTTAATTCAAGCCTTTCTGCAATGATGAGTCACACACAATGTCGTTACAAAGTCTATGCAAAAACATACACACAGCATGCGTGTTTACCTTTGCACTGTATTTGCACGGCAAATGTGACAGTATACATGTTAATATCCACTGCTGTATGGATATCTGTTATGTTAATGTACAAAATAAACGTCCACAAACCAGGATTGAAATGTCTTCTTTTATAATTGTACTGACATGCAGCTCTGGTGATGAATTACAGCGATTTTGCCATCTTCAACTTACTTTATTACAAACATGCACTGTTAAATGTTTTAAACTTGTAAAACTCATTGTTGATCACATTTGATGATGACTGATGATTAGAACTAAACAGATCTTTTAATCCCAGTTGCTTTGCACACATCTTGTCTTGTTAAAATGATTAAATGCATCACTACGAATGCATGTTTATATGTGGCTGTCATATAAACATCATAGCTGCCCTTTAAGTTCATTAAGTTGAACTTAATGTAAATAGTTAAAGCAACAATCATAAAAAATTATTTAATAATATAAAAATATTGATACAATAAAGTGCATTAGATAATAAACATTAGATTAAAATGAAATCTAAAATAATTAAAATCTACCTGTCATTTTTAGTGCAAATAACACATTTTTTTGGATATCTAAAATAACCCTGTCTGTAAATGTAAATATATAACAATGAAATATTTTTAGGAACATTTGTTTCCTCATACAAGTACTTAACAAGTTTATCAGTTTTGTTTTGTAGACAAATATTTGAATAAACATTTTTAATAGACATATACTGTACTGTACTACACTGTACAATATGTATGCATGAGCTTTGTGTGAATCTGTGTGTGTGTGCATGTGTGTGTGCCCTGGTGGCGTCCCGAAGGCACCTGGGTGCCACCAAGCCAGATTGTGGCCCTGAAGCCAGCCCGAGTGCCCGTCACACACATGACATTGAATTGATCATGTCACTGGGAGTCGAAGTGAGAGAGAGCTGCCACTTTCAGCAGAGGTGATGGGGGGCTCTGCACTGGTATAATGCAGGGCTGGAGAGCGTCTTGACAGCAGCGCGTCTGTGTGTGTATGACTGGCACCGAACTGCACGACTGGCATCCGGAGTGACAGCGTGTCATCCCACACTCTTCTGTCAGAGCCTGTTTGATTGGCAGGACAAAACCCGAGTCCAGCTCCACCCCGTCAGTGACCAAGACAGCCTCCCTCTGAGATGCCACCCTCCGCTTGAACCCTAGAACTAGCCTGAAGTACACTGCAAAAAAAAAAAAAAAAGAGAAACAAATTCAGTTGCCTTAATTTATGCTGAATCAAACTTAATCTTGCATTATAATTAACAGACTCAAAACAGTTTATGTAGCTTAAATAATTAGTTGAAACTAACGCTGCACAATATAACATCACCGGCCCCTTATACTTATTAGGTATACTTATTAAGTGTATATTGTACTAATAAGTACAATATAAACTTGTACTTATTAGGTACACCTTACTAGTACCGGGTTGGACCCCCCTTTGCCTTCAGGACTGCCTTAATTCTTCGTGGCATAGATTCAACAAGGTACTGGAAATATTCCTCAGAGATTTTGATCCATATGTAAGCATCATACAGATTTGACGGCTGCACATCCTTGACACAAATCTCTTGTTCCACCACATCCCAAAGGTGCTCTATTGGATTGAGACCTGGTGACTGTGGAGGCCATTTGAGTACAGTGAACTCATTGTCATGTTCAAGAGACCAGTCAGAGATGATCACGCTTTATGACATGGCACGTTATCCTGCTGGAAGTAGTCATCAGAACATGGGTACACTGTGGTCATAAAGGGTGGGCATGTCAGCAACAATACTCGGGAAGGCTAAGGCGTTGAAGTTTTGGTTGTTGTGCGTCTTGATGCTTTTCTGTATACCTCGGTTGCAACAAGTGGTTATTTAAGTTATTGTTGCCTTTCTATAAGCTCAATTCAGTCTGGCCATTCTCCTCTGACCTCTGGCATCAACCGCTCACTGGGTATTTTTTTCTTTTTCGGACCATTCACTGTAAACCCTAGAGGTGGTTGTGTGTGAAAATCCCAGTAGATCAGCAGTTTCTGAAATATTCAGATCAGCCTATATGTAATGTAATGTGTATTTATATAGCGCATTTATTGTGTATGGCCACACACCCAAAGTGCTTCACAATCATGAGGAGGGGTCTCTCCACACCACCACAAGTGTGCAGCATCCACTTGGATGATGTGACGGCTGCCACAGGACAACGGCGCCAGTGCGCTCACCACATACCAGCTATTGGTGGAGTGGAGAGACAATGATAGAACCAATTCGGTGGAAGGGAATGATTGGGAGGCCATGATCGTAAGGGCCGATAGAGGGACTTTGGCCAGGACACCGGGGTTACACCCCTGCTCTTTTTTACGAGAAGAGCTATGGGATTTTTAATGAGCACAGAGAGTCAGGACCTCGGTTTAACGTCTCATCCGAAAGACGGCGCCCACTGACAGTGAAGTGTCCCCTTCACTTTTACTGGGACATTAGGACTCACACAGACCACAGGTTGAGCGCCCCCTGCTGGCCTCACTATCACCACTTCCAACAGCAACCTACTGTTCCCTAGTGGTCTCCCATCCAGGTACTGACCAGGCTCAGCCCTGCTTAGCTTCAGTAAGTAACCGGTCTTGGGCTGCAGGGTGACATGGTTGTGTCATATCTTTTCCATGTGTAACACATTACAAAACTCTGTAAGCCATGTATCAATTTTAGGTATACTCTCTTTGTTCCACATCAACAAAATTACCATTTTTTTGCCATAGTTATTCCTTATTGAACTGTCTGGATTTAATTCAAACTACAGTTTTGAAAGGAAGGAGCCCAGCCTAATATTGAAATAAGAGGGTCAGGGGGAAAAACAATCCTTGGTACTTCAGAGTAAAAAGAGAACACAAAAATTTAGACATTTTTGGGCAGAATCAAAATATGTGAGCCAGTGTACCTTCATTGTACTTGCATTTAATACATAAAGACGATACAGAGGGGTATATAGAGTGCAATTTAGTGCAGGAATAGTGTAGTCTATGGACTACCTTATATTGGGTCAGCTGGAGGTTAGAGTTAATGGAACAAGACCAGATAACTTGAAGAGCATTAGTCCAGTTATCTTCTGAGATCTCTAATCCCAGGTTGGTTGTTAGTTTGTCAATTCCTAATGCTTTAACTAATGAATTTGGATTTTAATAATGCATTAGTAAATGTTGAACTATGATTAATAAATGCTGTACAAGTATTATTCATAGTTAGTCCATCTTAGTAAATACATTAACTAACGAAACCTTATTGCAAGGTGTGACCACTTAAATTAATATAAACCTATAGAGTATGTTGATCATATGAATGTATTATTACAGTGAACTCTCTACACAAGCATGTTGAAAAAAACGTGTCTCCACCTAGTTTTGTGTCAGAAACATGCTTGATAGAGATGCATGATATTATCGGATTGTTCAGCCTATAATTAATAGAAGTGTAAACACTGGCATCAGCCAGATATGGAAAATTTCCTTCCTAGCTGATGTGTTGATTATGTGTGGATGATGAGCCTGCATTATTTTACTTGTGCTCATTGCCAAATTTGCATTGTCACAGTCACTTCTATCTGTTTCTGATAAAACACACTTTTTAGTACCACTCGGACATTTCACTGTCAGGAAACATTCAAGAATCAACGTATAAATGTTTTTGCTTAAATGACACCAAATTTTTTTTATGAGCCTGGGTTGGATATTGCTCCTCTTCCAGTTCAAAATAGTGTGGTTCATTATTTAAATTCATAGAAATATATGTTGTGCTCATTTTTTTTCCACAGGTGAGCCAGTACACCTTTGCCATGTGTAGCTACAGGGAGAAGAAAGCAGAGCCGGTTGAACTTCTCCAACTGGACGGATACACTGTGGATTACACCGACCCTCAGCCAGGTCACTTAGCCGATCAGAATGCAACAATCATAATGAATACAATGCAAAATACAAATTTTCCATACAAATATGCAAATTAGAAGCAAAACTAGAATAGCTCATAAAACACTTGTGAACAAAGAATTGTTTTCATCCAAACTTTCAAAGAGTTAAAGAGAACAAAATCATCATAGGAGAAGCCACCGTGGGCCTTTTTTATATACAACTTGCCACTCAGAAGACATGCAATGAAGATGTATAGTAGCTTCTTGAGGTGTGAGACCTTTCGTTAGGAGTTTTGACAGTTCTGGGTGGTAATGATACTCAACCACTTTAATGATGGACATTGGCTAAGGGATTTTAAAATGACCAAGACAACATTTCAGATATTTTACAATGTGGTTTGTCCATTAATGTCTTTTAAAACAAAATCACATAATTTTTTTTTTTATTCAAATGCTGGAATTTATTTGGTGTTTTCATTTTTGCACCCTTCTTCTTATGCGATAAAAGGTTTATCCTATTCAGTTGCTGCGTGCATTTGTTTTTTATGCATTTATTCAAGAGTGATGCGCATCTTAGCATTTCAGTTATGCAGTTTTTATAGGATATTCACAAAAAATTGGTGGATGGAAACATAGCTACTGAGATCACCTTTAAACAGCCAATTGAAACTTAAATGTGCAGGGCTTTTCTTGTCATTCACATTCACAACATTTAGCTAGACAAGAAGACTTAATTCACTGCTTAAAATATAAAACTGTATTTTTTATATTACTTTGGGCTATTATTAAAGTCATGGTCAACTTTTACAACAAATTTTGATTAGTTAATGTATTCACAGTGCTAACATTAACTAAAAATGAACAATACAATTAATCATTAATTAATTAACAATAGTTCAGCTTTTACTAATGCATCTTTAAAACCCAGATTTTAATTAATTTGCGTTGACAAAAACTAACAGTGATGAGATAAATGTGTATTCTGTTATAAATGTATTGTTCATGGTTGTTAGTAAATATGTTAACTAATGGAACTTTAATGTAAATGTTACATAAATCATAAACACACTTGTGCATAATAAAAATTGTTCGCTGCATTCTATAATTTTTCTTTTAGCTGTGTAAGAATCAAAAGTCTTGCATGGAAAGTATCTATCCTATATGTGGTAAAAAGATTGTATAGAAGTACCAGCAGGTGGCAGGTGCTTCTAGTATCTATACGCATTTACTCTCAAGGTGACTCATTTTATTAGCATTAAACAAACACAGGTAATTGACTGGTTAAGATCAATTATCTTTCATTGAAACCTTCTGTGTCTTTGCATAAAACATTATGCACCGTGAACATGGGTTATGAAAACTGAATGTCTAATGGTGATTGGCCTGCAATTGTTTCTACATTTAATAAAAATGATGGATGTGGTGCTTTTCATGTTGGCTAAAATGTTAATAGATTAATTACTGATAACCAGTCGTAATTAAGCACTGTATACTGAAAATATGAGTCACTGATAATTACTTATAATCAGGCACTGAATCCTAGATATTGCCTCATTGCATAAACTATAGCAATTAATATATAAAAATGTCTCCGTTTAAGAAAGAAAGAAAGAAAGAAAGAAAGAAAGAAAGAAAGATGAGGTGGCAAAAAAACATAAATATTACACAATTTATACATGTTGATGAATAAATGAATAATTACAAATCTTGATCTTTAAGAATCCAAATTATTTCTACTTATTATTGATAAATATTACATAATTTATTGATAAATAGATAAACTCATTTTTAAATAATTTTTAATAAACTTTATTGTTATTTATTTATTATTGATAAATATTTCATGATATATTGGTAAATAAATACATAAACAAATGAATAAATAAAAATCCTAAATAAACTTTATTAATCCTTATTATTATTTATTATTATTAAAATTATTATTATTATTATTATTATTATTATTATTATTGATAAATATAACGTTATATATTAGTAAATGAATAAATAAATAAATAAATATTTTAAATAATCTTTAATAATCATAATAATTATTTATTATTATTATTATTATTATTATTATTGATACATATTACATAATTTATAAGTAAATAAATATATTAATTAATCATTTTTCATATGTTATAATCATATTTAATATTTATTATTATTGTCAATAAATATTACATAATTTATTCGTAAAAAATAAATTAAAATGTTAAATAATCTTTAATAATCCTGATCAGTATTTATTATTATTATTATTATTATTATTATTATTATTATTATTATTATTATTATTATTATTATTGATAAATATTTTATCATTTATTAATGAATAAATAAATCGTTAAAAATAAATAAATAATTTTTTTTTACATATAATGATCCTACTTATTATTTATTATTATTATCGATACATATTACATAATTTATTTGACAATAAGTAAATAAATAAATAAATAAATAATTTAAATAATCTTTAATGATCCTGATCAGTATTTATTATTGTTTTGAATAAATATGTTATAATTTATTAATAAAATAAATGTAATATTAAATAATAATAATAATAATAATAATAATAATAATAATAATAATAATAATAATAATAGTAGATAGTAATAGTAATAATGGTAAATAATAGTAAATAATAATATTTAAAAAGAAAATAATTTTAAAAATTCTAATTTTTATTTTTTTAGTATTATTGATAAATATTACATAATTTATTAGTAAATAAATAGCTAATTAATTAATAAAAATAATTATTTTTAATAATCTTAAACTGTATTTATTATCTATTATTATTATTGATAAATGTTACATAATGCATAAATAAATATAAATAAATAAAAATCTTAAATAATCTTTAACAGTCTTATTATTATTATGATTATTATTATTATTTATTTTTTATTTTATTATTGATAAATATTAAATAAAATAAATGTTGATAAATAAATATACAAATAAATAAATAAAAATCCTTATTAATAGGAATTATTATTTTTGATAAACATTACACTAAAGAGTCATGCTGATGAATAAATAAATAAATGAATAAATAAATAAATAATTTAATAATTCTAATTAATATTATTGTTTACTCATAGTTAGTTTTATTTAGTGTTGCATTAACATAGTGTTAATGTTAAAGTAAAAATATAAGTAAAAATATGATAATTTTGGTCATTTTAATGGTCATTAATATGGTAATTGTACTGCTTTAAGTCACATATGATATGTTTTAATATTACCTGATGTGCTGGTATGATTTGTGTATTTGTATTTTTTGTATTTCTATTTTCTACAGCATGAATAACAATATTGGTTGCATAATACAAATTTTATGAATAAAAATAAAATCTTGTTAAAATTTCAACATTACCTTAAGACAAAATAAAATAAAAAAGTTTTGTTAGGTTCTGTGTAAGGTATTACCATTTCATAACTTGTAACACATTTTCTTTCACTCTTATTTGATTAACAGTATGAATGATGCTGACTGTGTTGAATGCAGGTCTGGATGGCGGTCGGACGTTCTTTAATGCTGTGAAGGAAGGAGACACTGTGATCTTCGCCAGCGATGATGAGCAAGATCGGATCCTGTGGGTTCAGGCGATGTATCGAGCCACGGGCCAGTCCCACAAACCCGTCCCCCCGACCCAAGTGCAGAAACTCAACGCCAAAGGAGGAACGGCACCGCAGCTTGATGCTCCCATCTCTCAGTTCTGTAAGTCTGAAAATAAACACACACACACACACTGCAGTCACACTAATATATGGTGTCTTTCTAGAAGATTGATTAAATAGTTTCCTGCCCGAAACAGCGCATTACTAATGTGTTTGTAGGCTGTCTGACTATAATGCTCATTAGTGTCCTGTAAGTGTCAATTCAACAGGGTACACCTGCTTACTGTACCGGTGTTACTGTAAAACTGGAGGAAAATCACACTCCCTGTTTTCATTTGCACAGCTTGATCCCGTCGCAATTGTTCCGCCTTGTGTCCCACATACATTTCATTCTTGCAGATTCTTTGATTTGGTTCAGATTAATTTTCTCATTATAATTTCTTTTCTCTTTTCCCCTTACTTATGTACTAACTTTTTTTATTGTTTTATTATATGTATTTATATATTTTACTTTCACTTTCTTTTTTTTTTGTCTTATTTTTCCTTGTTTGTATTATTATTTTGATTTTTGTTTGCATATTTGACCCGATTTAGATGATTATTATTTTTTTATATCTTTTTTGTCTCGTCTAATTGTTTTTTTCCCCACAAAATTTCTGCCCTTTCTTTTGCTCTTTCATTTTCACTTTTGCAAATGTATTTTTTCACTTTTTTTAAGTTTTCTTCTGCATAATATTTTCACTGCTTCCCCCCCCCCTTTTTTTCTGCATTTAGTTTGCTTGTTCTTTCCTCATGTTTTCATTATTTATGCCTCTTCTGTCTTTACTCTGCTTTTGTTTACTCTGCCTTGTTTTTTTTTTGATTCACATGATTTTGCTTTATATGTTAGTTTTTTCATCTATTTATTTATTTATTTATTTATTTGCTTATTTGCCATTACTTGGCTTAGTCGTTTGTTTGGTTGTTTTCAGTCATTATCCAGTTATTTTTCCCCCACAAATCTTTCATTCTCCTATTTTCTTTACTCTTTGTTTAGGACTTTAATTTAAATTAATTTAAATTCTATTAAATTGTTCTTCATTTTATTTTCTTCTGCATATTTACTGACTTTTGCATATTGCACTCTTCATCTGCTCTCTTTCCTCAATTGTTCCACTTTTCAATCGCTATTGCTATTCGTTAAGTGTAGATTTGCTTTTGTTCACTCAGTGTTTTATTATTTAGTCTTTAGTTTCACTTGTTTTTGCATGTGATTGTTAACTTATGTATTTGGATTTACTTGCTTTTGCAATTGACAATTGGAATTTTTTTTTCTTTTTTTTTCTTTTTTTTGTTTACGCTTTCCTTCTAGATAGGATTGCTCTCTTTTAAACAATGCAGCTCTCCCCCATTTTTGTTTCACTGTTTTGTTTTACTTTATTTATTTATTTACAGTGCTCAGCATATATAAGTACACCCCTCACAAATCTCTCATTTAAATTCATAATTTCTAATCTGTATAAGCATGACAATACTGTATTTGTGAATATACATTAGTTTAGTCAGTACTGAAGCCAAACCTAAAGCTTATCTAACAAAATAACTCACATTAACAATCCAAAAACTAGCAGCTCAATTTTATATGTTAGGGAATTTTATTTTATGTTTATAAAAATGTTTATAAAAAAAAAGAAAGAAAAGAAAAGAAAAAATCAGAGAAACAAATATATATATATATATATATATATATATATATATATATATATATATATATATATATATATATAATGTTGTTGAAATTTTGTAGTTTGTAATTTTTTTCAATGTTTTGCTAGAATTTAATTGTATTGTCTTTTGTATTTCTAAAGATTTTCGGTGACAAATTATATTTTAATAAATACATTTTTTTAATAAATCTGTTTAGTTCAAATGCACCAAAATATTTTACCTATATACACTGAGAAATAGATACAAATATTCATTTTGAAAAAGGGGGTGTACCCATTTATGCTGCACACATTTATTTATTTATTTATTTATTTATTTGTTTGTTCTATCGTTGTTTTGTTCTTTACTTTTTGTAATACTGGTACTTTCATTCTTTTGTACACTTATATATTTTCTATTTTGATTTTATTTGATAATTACTTGTTTACACTGTATATTTGCCCGCTTTAATGCATTAATTCACTCATCTGTTCTCAGTTTTATTCTTTATTTTGGTCACTTTCATTTTTCCTTGCTATTTACTATCATGATTATGCTTTTCTGTGTTCTTTTATTTTTAGTCATTGTTTTATTCTTTAAATTAGGTTTTCTTTTCACTGTTTATGTTGCTCATTGCCTTTTCTGTCTATTAGTATGTTCTTCTTTCACTATATTTTAAATTCTTGTTACAACTTGATCTCCTCATTCTTTTTCTCCCTCTTTCAGGCAGTGGTTTATATGTTTGTGTATGAATATGTGTGTCAGATCCTTCTCTCATGCTCTGCTGACTGTTTTCCCTGTGTAAAGGGAATATTCTCTCTCTATCTTCTGCTCCATGCTCTGAGTCTGTATGTCACTCTGGTTTGTTCCCTCTTACCCTGCTCTCTTGTAGCTGGACTGAAGGGTAAGTGTTTCCCAGTAGCAGCACAGATCAGATAAACCGTTTTCGGATTATCTGACACAAGCAATGTGCTGTTCGCAGTTCAGAAACTTACCTTATTCCCTCCTCATCCTCCAAATCTAGTTCACCCAGAAATGAACATCTACTCATCATTTACTCCTCCTCGAGTGGTTTTAAATCTTTATGAGTTTATTTTTCTGTTGAGCACAAACAAAGATATTGTGAAGAATGATTGAAACCAGTAGCCATTCACTTCTATAATAGTAATGTTACATCATTTGTTTTTATGTTTAGGGAAAAGTAAGGCACTCTGCTTGTTTACACTAAATGAATTGAAACAACACAATTATTTTTGGGGGACAACTTAATTGTTTAAAATTAGTAAAAAACATTAAGTTAACTTAATCTTAACTTAATCTGAATCTTAAACTTAACTGGTGGTGGATGAGGAGATTCCCTTCATTGTGTAAAGAGCTTTGAGTGCCCAGAAAAGTGCTATATAAATGTAAGCAATTATTAATTATTATTATAATTATTATTATTAATAATCAATTTGTTTGCGACAACATGAAGGGATTGTGTGAAATCCTGCATTCTTTACAGTGTAAAAATGTAGCCAGCTGTACTAATTGTTATTGTCCTTAACTCTAAGGAAACTGGAACACAAAAGTACTAAACAAGTTATTGTGTTTATTGTAAACAAGCTGTGATACTTCAATATTTACAAAATTATATTTTAATAAAAGAAAACGAGGAAAGGATAAATACAACAATTTTCATGTGCACACACACACACACACACACACACACACACACACACACACACACACACACACACACACACACACACTCACACATACACACAAATCAGAGGTTTAACAAAACAAACTAACCCAGTTACATCTACTGCTATACACTGTAAAAATGCTGGGTTCCACACAATTGATTTGTGTGGGGACAACATGAAGGAATTAAATTAACTTATTAGGTTTTACAAATTAAACTGGATTTAACATAAAACAATAAATCTGTCCCCACAAAAAAAAAAAAAAAAAAAAAATCAAGAATTGTGTTGTTTCAGCTCATTTCAAATAAGTACTTTGAAAAAATGTCATTTTTAAATATACCAAATAAAACATTAAATAAATCTTCTGGGTAATAATATTAATAGTAGTAGTAATATAAATAATAATAAAAATCTTTGTCTGTATAATAATAATAATAATAATAATAATAATAATAATAATAATAATACATTTATTCAATAGTCAACCAATCAAACAAGGGCGTCTAGGGCGGCAGAATAGCGAGGGTGGCATCAGTGACACCCCCAGCCACCCCCAGTTGGCGGTTCATTCTGCTTTGGCAACTCCTAATAGACATTCAGGATGTTGTATCTTTTTGTGTCAATTAATTTTAAGTAAGTTAAGTTTACATGGCAGACAAAGCACAATAGCATAAATGTATGAATAAACAGATTACAGAATGAAATAAAAAAGGAAAATCAGAGTTAACAAACAGCTCAAGTTCACACTAAATGCTGACCCTCACATTTCCCTTCTGTAGTATCCCTTCTGTAGTATAAGTTTTAGCATAACTCACTCAAACGCATTTGAGTGCATAACAACGCACTCAAAAAAGGACATTTGCTCTGTTCAAAGTACTTATTTAAATTGAATGGATTGAATCAACACAATTATTGATTTTTTGGGGGGACAACTTAATTGTTTTATGTTAAATCAACTTAAATTTGTAAAAACGTATACGTTAACTTAATTCCTTTGTGTTATACAAACACATGTTTATTGTGTGCATTTGTTGGGGAAAGTTACTTTTGAAAGTAATGCATTACAAGTTTGAGTTATTCCCCAAAACAGTAACTAGTTGCGTTGCTTATGTCGAGATCAGACTGCATGATTTTAGCCCTGATTTTGGGTGACAGGTTTTGAAAAATCGGCTACAAATGCCTGAAATCACAGGCAAATTGGTGCTCGTGCATGCGAGTATCAATCAAGCAGTGTAAACTATCAGAAACGCAATCTGAGAGAATCGCCAATAAGTCGCCGATGCCTGTGAGATATTTGGCATGCTAAATATCTGGAGCTGTCGGCGATTCAAATTATGCCGTGTGAAATGAGTTTAGACTGAAAATAATAACGTCTGAGATTACTTGCAGCCAATGAGAGAGTAGCTCGCTCACTAGTGTGTGTATGGGAGTCAATGGCTTTCCAACATTCTTCAAAATGTATTATGTGCTCAACATAAAAAAGAAACAGATATGTTTGGAATACGAGTCAATGATGACATCATTTTTATTTTTGGATGAACTATCCCATTAGGTCACGAAAATAACAAAGCACACCTTTATTATTTCCAAGACTAGACTGCATGTCACGTTTTATTTCTGGATATTTTGCTCTAAATAGCAGCTGCGTATTTGCCTTTTCTCAACACGGCTTCATTGGGTCAACAGTTTCGCGAGTACAAAATCAAATCCATCTGTTCCTAGTGTATTGTCGGGGTGAAATCCTCAGCAGTTGCCTTTATTTAATAATAAAAATTTGCAACCAAATTGAGAATTGGGTAAATGATATAATTACGGTGATTGTCTCCATTGTAGTTGTTGATTTATTGTGCTAAATGAATTCTGCGAAACCGCTGGCGTGCTCTGCAGTCGTCAGCAGCTGGTAATTACCATGTTAAGAGTGACAGCCTATGAATAAAACAGTGTATCTGCACCCTGATTATTTCTGGAAGCTATCAGTGGAATGTTACCAAATAACTACTTGCTAGTTCACACCAGTGTCTCTCATCTGTCGAAAGTCGTGCCACCAGTGTTTTCATTTCCCTCTTTCTCTCTCTCTTAACCTTACCATGGCGTTAAATTAAATTGTTGTGGTTGCAGTTTTAAATGTTGGGATTAGGATGCAATCTGAAACATTGGCTGTTTGTTTTTTCTAAAAGGTTGAAACAGTGGACCCGTATCTGAGTTTATTTTGATGGAAATGAGAGTTGGCAAATAAGTTGCTGGAAAATAGAAATGATGGACAGATGATATCACACAGTTTCTTTATTTTGTATGGTATTAAGCTGACTCAACACATGTACTGTATACTGACACTTTAACAAACAGTGGTCCTTATCAGTAGTGTTTGTAATGTAGTAGCCTTGTGTTTTCCTATAGAACTACTAACAGTTTGAGACTAACAGTTCCTTTCCTCACCTCTGGGAAAATGCTAAAGCTCCTAATCTTGTTGACAAATATATGCAAAGATACAATAACAATGTATTACTGAAGTCAGAGATGTTTTGGATATAATATCTGAGTAATAAATAAATAAATGAATAAATAAGTAATATTTGACCATGGCTTTCACTGTAGCAGTTCATTTAAAAACAAAAAAATAACACCCATAATAAAATGTACAAAAATTAAACTAAAAAAATGAATGAATGAATGAATGAATGAATGAATGAATGAATGAATGAATCAATCAATCAATCAATCAATCAATCAATCAATCAATCAATCAATCAATCAATCAATCAATCAATCAATCAATCAATCAATCAATCAATCAATCAATCAATCAATCAATCAATCAATCAGCCAACCAACCAGTCAATCAATCAGTCAGTCAGTCAGTCAGTCAATCACTGTACTTTAAGCCTTATGGCCAGTCT